AGCTCCTGTAATCTTAAAATGATAAAGAGAGATATGAATATGTATGATCTAGACCACTAGAAACATAAGTGACGATTGATATCACAACTAAGTTTGAGAGTTCCAGGTTACTTAGTTCTTTGTTTTCTCACATGAGGATAAATACAGTTTTTCACAGAATCATATTTTTAAATACAAAATCGATGACCATCAAGAAAAAACCTGATATATTTTTATGAACTATTATAAAAAGTTTAGTTTGCTGACAGTGATTTGTATCACATATAGAAACAATGAATGATATTCTCGAATTAGTATGCATTACTGGTAACCAGCGAACAGAGAAAATAAAAAACAATTAGAAAATCTTTACGTTTTAAGTATTCCTCCACTATTTCTGTAATCATTGATATTGCTTTTTGAGGATAGGTGTTAAAATTTAACTCAGGAGTTAACTTGTTCAGGAACAAGTGCAATAGTTCATTCCCTCTAATTTTAACTTTTGGAATGACCGAATGACCGTTTAACGAAATATTTGCTATTATTTTGCTAATATGTGTTATTATTTTAGATTACAATTAAAAGCAAATATACAGGGTGTTCCGAAATTCATGCAACAAAATTTGATCACAGATTCTTAAGACAAATATATGGGACCCGTATTTTTTATTTTTGCCAAATGGCCCCCTTCTTTCGGAGTTACAGCCCCCTGAAGTCCGACCCTAAGAATAATCTTTTTTTATATCCCAGAACCCTGTTGTATGAGAATCGCTAAATTTGGTACACAGGGGGTTTTATGACGTGGAATCTGATGGTGCTATGTTTTTTGGCGGGGAACCTCCTTAAAACAATTTTTCGTGAACTCCCTTGTCTTTGGAGCCAAAAAAATTTGATCGCATATTTAAATTTCTTAAAAATTATCAGTCCATTAGAAAGCCATTAAATTTAGAAACTTTTTGTCTCTTTATACTTTTTCGTAAAACGCAATGTTTTCGAGAAAAATGTCAAAATGTGATCGAATGCATATAGTGAT